TGACCAGAGTGGCTGCATCGGTTATCCGTACTGTCAGCGGAAACAACAGTTTTTAGCGACGGGAGCAGAGTTATTCAAGATGTCAATTTCGGCAGAAGATTTGAAAGATATTTTGCTTCAACAGTAGCGGCAATTCGAGGCGGCACAGCTGCGTCTGATCGAGACTTTCACTCGAACACTATCGCTCCAGTCTACATCAGTCCACAATGCCTAGAAGCCTTCAGTTGATGCAATAATCAGCAGCGTCATTAAGTTTGTTTTTGATCCCGCTTCAGGACTGATTTTCGATGCATGGTTCAGACGTTACGAAGATATTTTCAAAACGGAACTGGCAAATCTTGATGATGCGTCGAAACTATGGTTGCTGCTACGTAAACTCGGAACTTTAGAGTACGCCATATACATCAATTACATTTTGCCAAAACGTGCTCAAGATTTCAGCTTTGATGAAACCATTTCCCGACATACGGAGATGTTCGGCGCTCAGGCATCGCTTTTTATTAATCGATTCAATTGCCTGGAGCTGTGCAAGAGGGACAGCTAAAGTCTCATTGCCCGTGCAGCAACAGTGAAGCGAGAGTGCCAGAAATTCAAGCTGAAATCACTCCCTGAAGACCAATTTGAGTGTCTGATACTGATATGCAGCCTGCAATCTCCCACGGATGCCGAGATCCGAAACAAGATTACTCGGGTTGTTGGAGCGAGAGCCAGATGTCACACTGCAAGTTGTCATTGCAGAGGCCTAGAGAGTCATCAATTTAAAACACGATACAGCTATGGTCGAGGATACGAAAGCGCATTCCAGGGATTTCGCAGTTCAGCAGATTTCGGGGAACAAGTTTCCGGCCACTGATCACAAGAAGACCCCTCAATGTAAGCCATCATCAGCATGTTGGCACTGCGCGGTGACTGGCATTTTGTTAGATGGTGTCCAACAAGCATATCTGCCAGAAATGTCGTGGATGTGGGCACAGAGAAACTCATTGCAGATCCAAGCTATTTTTTAAACCGGTTCATGATGCACGAAAGAAAAGCTACGGTGGTTTCGCGAGCAGACTGAACGCCACTAAGAGTAGAGAACTTTCCAAAGAATGTTTCACACTTATGCTGTGTGCTAGCTCAAGTAGGGAGAAGCTAAAGGCTTTGGTCATTCGTAAGTCAGCTAGACCACGTGTATTCAACAATCTGAATCCTGAAAACCAGTCACCTGAAGACCAGACAAATCGAATTGGGTGATTGTTGCCATATTTGACCAGCGAATAAGAAAAATCGACCGAGAAATGTTGAAGGAGAAACATTTCATTCTACTGACAGTGGAAAATCGTCCCAATCATGTCCATGTCGCTAATCCGAATATTACCCTAACGTTTCGGCCTCCAAATATGACCTCAAACATTCAGAACTCATTTCAGAGCCCAGATCATGCAATGGGTTGTAGCAAATTGTATCCTAATGATCTGCGTGCGTAAGTACTTCATTTACTTCTTCAATTAATGCTATGGATGCTGTGTTTTGAAGAAGTTCCGCTTAGCATAAATTCGGGCCACAAACCATACAAAAATACTTCATTAAACCTGGATTCGTTCAAACTCTTAAGCAGGACTCTGTTGGTTTAATATGCATTCCATCTCCTGTTACCGAATTTGAGGGAATAGCTTTTTAAGAGTTTGTTGACGTGGATGATGGCCTGGCAATCTGCACTGATGCAGACACATGTTATTTTCAAAGAGATACTGATTGCGGCACGCCCATACAGGAACAAGCAAGAAGCGCCTGATGATGAGGATGAACTAAGAGAAGGTGACATAGGAACCACAGAAACCCCAAAAAAGACTGATATCGGGTATCTTGTAAGGCAACTAGAATAATTTGCTGTGGAAAAAGTCCAAGCATGCTGAGTAGTGTAGCTTGTGCTGAGAGCGATTTTTCAGTTACTTTTTTGATAAGAGAAAAAACAGAACGATTAACTTTTTCCTCAAAAAATCTTTGAACACCCGAAATGTACACTGAGTTTTCATTTAATATAACACCGTAGGCTTGAACTGCGTTTGCCATTACGTGAGACCTCATTCATCATCATCATTATACACGTTAGGTAGAGATGGGAAACACAGCTACTGTGCCGCAGTGCCTAAAAGAGAAAAGGGGGAAATGCACCAAGTGCAAGCCAGCTGAGCTTCCGTTAACGGATGGGCATCATTCCGGTAAGCTACCAGCCGGCTAATATGCAGCAAAAAATTACTATGCAAAGTTATCTAAGGCTAAATAATGAGATGGTGGTTGGAAGGGGAGGGTAAGTGGGATGGAGTGGGACAAGGAAACTCACAGCATGAATGCCACTGAGGTCGGCTTCTAGCCATATCAACAAGTGTGTCCAGCCAAACGTGTTCATTGTCTTTCGGACCCTAACCAGGAAGCCGAGGCGCTCCAACTGAGGCCAGCTTCGAAGTGAGGGGCCTTCATTCCTCTCGACCAAATCATCGCTTGGCCACCCCTCCTCTTTTTCCATCCACACCCCCGGCGCGCAAACAACGCACGTCGCGGGAGTCGGTGGGCTGGCATGCGACTCGTTTGGCTGAACCATCGGAGCCTGGTGCATGCAATAACGGTGCTGAGCAGTTCATTGCCTTTTCCTGTGCCGTAATCAAGGCGTCGAACACGCTCGTTGCTTACTCAGTGTTCCCACTAGATGTGAGCTAAATTGCGAAGGCACCCGTGCTCGAACGTAACTAGCCTCTTAATGTCCGTTGATTTAAGGGGCCAGGTTTCACAACCGAACAGTAGGGTCAGATGTACCGCTGCATTGGACACTCTACCCTTCAGGGCAAGAGTGTTGTCGCGCCGGCGCCATAAGTGGCGAAGGTTAGCAAAAGCGCCTCGAGCTTTTGCTATACGGTTCATGATCTCATCTTCAATCCCACGGGCGCTGATACAAGTTCCCAGATAGTCGAATTTTTGAACGACTTCAGCGTAAGTAGCGGTTCAGACCAACCTTGAAGGAACGTTTTGCACTTAGAGGGTGCGAAATACCGGTGCCGCTTGGCACGTTTGTGAGCTGTCACAGATTAGGCCAATAACGTCAGCATACTCCAAGTCAAGAAGTCGTTCTCCTGGGTCTAGCTCCACATCTAAGTCGTGTCCTGTGAACGCGATTTCCATTACTTCGTCAGTAGCGAAGTTGAAGAGGAAAGGTGACGGCGGGCATCCTTGTCTCACACCGCTGGAGATGCTAAAGGGCGACGACAGCTTGCCGTAACTCCTCACTCTGCCTGAGCTACGCGCGTATATTGCTCGGATAATATTCACATATTTCTCAGGGACACCTTTTTTGAGTAGACAGCCCCAAAGTACACGTCTATCCACCGATTCGAATGCACCTTTGATATCGAGGCACACGACAACGGTGGGCCGCCAATATATGTGACGGTACTCCAGCAACTGACGCAAAGTGAAGATGTGGTCAATGCAGCCAGAACCTCGACGAAACTCGGCTTGCTCTTCACGAATATGGCTTTCACAAGTGACAGTCAGTCTGTGAAGGATTACAGAGGCAAGCAATTTGGAGGCGATAGTGATTACCCTGATTCCTTTGTGGTTGCCGCATTCCGATCGTGAATCTCCCTTGAAAATTGGGACTATGACGGAGATTCTCCAGTCGGTAGGGACAGTTTCCTGCTCCCACAGTTTCACTCGTAACTCGTATAGATCATCCACAAGAGCAGGTCTTCCGAATTTGAAGATAGTTGAATTGGGATCATCAGGTCCCGCGGCTTTATTTAACTTCAACAGTCCGATCTCACGGTCGACTTTTGAGCGAGAGGGTGGATCCAAAGGGATAGTCTACGGAGCGGGGCACTCAGTGGCCGACCGAGTAAACAGCTTTTCAAAGTGCTCAGCCCAACGCTCCAAGCGTTTTGATAAGTTGTAAATAGGCTGCCCACTCTCGTCACGTATAGTTTCACTAACATCAGGTTTCCTGCTGCCCCTTTCCCGTATCAGCCCGAATAACTTACGATGGTTACCAAGGGCAGCGGCCATTTCCATCTCTGACGCACGATGAGACCACCAGGATTCGCGGTCTCTCTTCAGGTCAGCACGGAGCTCTTTGTGATTTTCATTGTGTTGGTTTCTAGTCGGAATATGCCGGCGAGCATCAATAATTTTCAGACTGCGAAGATACCCAATGTCCTTGTTGTCGATTAGACTTACCACATGAGAATTTTCATGTGGCTATGCATATCCCCCTATGATTGCCGCATTCAAAACGTGAACCCCCTTTGAGAATTGGATCTATAACGGAGTGGCTGCACAGTCTGCTCTCACAACTTTACTAGTAGGTTATGCAAAACTTTCACAAGAGCTGGATTACCAAATTGAAATTAGGTTAGAGGAAGTCTACCTGCTCCTGCGGCCTTATTCTGGTTCAGTGGTTTCATCTCATGTTCGACTTCTGTGGATCCATATAGAAGGGCGATCATTAGCCTTGACCACGTACAATTGGCACCTCTCTGGCCTGGCGATGCTTACGAAGTGTATGTGCATTTTCCTTAATGATACAGTATGTTATTTGACTGATCAGCGGCCAAAACAGATTTCACGGATAAATGGGGGTAAAGCTACTGGGACCGTGATTGAGATGCTTACTTCCCCTCTGAACTTGACGGACTTGCGGCGAACAGTACTTACTACCCTATGGATAGTGTGATTAAATGTACTATGCTGCCCGGAGTTTTACTTCAATAGGCCAAGGCTAACTTTCCTACCACATTTACCAGTAAGACCTTCGTTCAATCAAAGAAAAGAAACAAATGCCTTTGCTCCCTCTAAACTGATGATACCTAAATTTTATAAAATTTGAATTGTGGGATGCATCTTATTGTTAACTTTAATTTACCTATTTCGCACACTTGTGAGCAGGTCGGCCTTTTCCTGTTCCATGTTGTTTGTACTTCTGTTACTATATTTTCCAATTTTCTTTTAGTTTCGTTACAGTCTTGGAAATGCAGCCTGTAAATATTGAATACGTTGGCCGATTCGGCCAACACTTTTTGCGGAACGCGATTCCTTCGTCTGTACAAATCGCCCTCAATAATCAGGGAACAGCAGTGTGTCTTTTCACTTCCCAGTTGCTTGAATGCAATACTACGTTTCCTCGGTGGTCTACGCTATTCACCTGGACGCCATCCAGCTTCCAGCCACCTAGCCAATTACTTGACTCATGGAAACAGCTACTCATAACTTATGTGAAGTTCATTGATGTTGCCATGCCGGATTCTGAGCAATTTCAGTCTGGATTGCTAGTTCTGTTGACAAATCGTACTAATGACCATTCTTTCATTTGCTACTTTTCCGACATACTCACTGGGTGCTGCTGCCAATCAGTAATTTCCGTTCGCGGTGTGCTCACTGATTGTGAATGGATCTATCCTGTTACCGATTTGTGCTCCAGTGCGAAGTCGCAGACCATCATCGCGGAGTCCATAGATCTTTCGTGTTCTGAGCCAAAACGCCGTACTGGACTCGGGTCGGTAACAAGCGCGTTCTCTGGATGTGTTGCACTTGGTTTTTCTCAAGGTTACATTGCTCTTCTCGGTAAGTTTTGCTAGTAACGCGGGCATCAGCTCGATTTTCTTAACATACTTTATCACTATGGTCATTCAATATCCACTTTCTTATCTCCACAATCTCCCGCGTCTTTGCAAATTTTTCTGTTGAGCATGTGCATCAGTGATTTACCTTCATGTTGGAACATTTTTATGCTCATCCTATTTAGGGTGTGAAAATCATCAAATTATGTGACTCTGATCATAATCCATCCAAGTATTCGTGTCATCCGCGTCTCCTTCCGTACGTGCTCGCGTAGGGTTAGCAGTTGGCACGGCTTTGTAAACTTTAAAGCGATGATCCATCTTTATTGCGTTTCAAAAGGTGTTCTCCTGTCAACATTTTGTATCTTTTTTATTCTAGATTCTCTACGCTGATTTTTTTCAGCAACCTTGACTTTCTAACATCAGATTGACCTGCCTCTGTTGCGTATGTTTTCGTTCCTCATCCTCATCAACAGCAGTACATCGGCCATTTTAACTGATGCTTCTCTGCCGAACAGTCACGGTGGCGTACGGAACGGGGAGACGTGGGGAACTAACGTAAAGTCTTGATATTCTAAACAAACATTCAGATTCAAAACGCCTACATTTTGTCAACGAAATACCGTCACAAACAGCTGTCTACCGTACGGATAACGTTACCGGCTACCTTTGCAGTATGGCCTGTACTTTGACCCCGGCAAACTGTAAAATACTACTCCAGTATTGGCATGTGCTTCCCCTTACCATTGCTGGTGACGTTCTAGAACATGTCCCCTGCTTCACGGTTTGCGACGGTGTTGAAAATGATACCCCCAACGGATTTCAAAAGCCCACCTTGCATTCATCAAGTCGAGAGACCTATGGCGTAATCACTGTCAATCTGAAGCTCAACGGCAAGGCGTACAACACCTCTGTCCATGCAGTCTTCTTGTACGGCTGTGTGGTCTGGCCTATTCGCTCGGAAGACATGAAACGACTGCCTGTCTTTGAAAATCCTTGTCCCTGTAGGATTGCTCGCGTGTGGTGGCAACATCATATAAGCAACACAGAAGTCAGGGACTGATTGTTTGGGGCGAACATCCTCTTCTCCCAAAGCATCATTCCTCGACACCGCACGTGTTATGCATGCTAGCCTATCGCCTTCCCCTTCGAACCTTATTTGCACTTCCCGGAAGCAATTTGGAAAAGTGTCGCGATTAAAAACCAATGATGTGGAGAAGGAGCATGAAGAAAGCAACCTCAAGCTTGGCTTCAGTCTGGCCGGTCTGCTTTTCAAGATGGGGACCACACGACTCTAACTCGCAGTGGTTAGATACGTCGGATAAGCGATATCAGTGACACTAATGTTGTTCTAACACACCATCTATTAGTTAATCTCCAGTCGAACACAGAAAATCCACAAAAACCCTTTTTGCGGTTGCATTTCGCCATAGTTCTGATAGCACAACATCTGTAACCAGATTTTGAATTTCTATACACATTACGCATTAAATTCCATCGTAACAAAATCAGGCCTTAATGTTGTGCGATGATTTGCCTGCCTCAGCGATCTATTGAACTCTGCTGGGTTGTGCTTCTCACACCTTCAGAGCCCAGTACCCTAACCTGTGACAGCTCCCAAACTTGCCAAGTAGCACTGAATAAGTTAGCATTGGCTGTCAGTCGTTTAGGGCTACGCCTTGCACCTTCAAAATGCAGTCTTTCTCCTAGATTGGCGGAAGCCCACCCCACCACTCTTCGCGGTGATCAGCTATAAGTTGTCCGACAATTCAAACACCTAGGCAGCTATATTAGCGCCATAAGACTTGAAGATGAGATCACAAACCGCATAGCAAAAGCTCGAAATGTTTTTGACAATGTCCACCACCTGTGCCGCCTGCGCGACTTCACTCGCGCCCTGAACAGCAGAGTTTATAATGCAGCCGTTCGTTTAACCCACTTCTACGGTTGTGTAGTCTGGCCAATCAGATCGACATACCTAGTGGCTTGTTATGTTCGATCATCGCTGCCTTCGCAAATTAGCCCATGTTTGGCGGGAACACCGCAAGAGCAACGAGCACGTTCGGTGTCTGGTATATAGTGCAGGAAGAGCGAGTGAACCGCTCAAGACCGTCATAACACGCACCGAACTCCGATAACTGGGACACGTGTTACGCACACAAGCACACCGACTCCTGCGACCTGCGTTGTTTGCGCAACCGGAGTGGGGATGAAAGAAGAGGAGAGTAGACCAACTGATGGTTTAGTCAAGAGTAATGAAGGTGTTCATTTCGAAGTTGACATCGGCTGGTGTCTCCCTAGTGCTGAGTTGGCGTCTCAAGGAAAATGAACATGTTTAGTTGGAGACACGGGTTGACTTGGCAAGGAGCCCACCTCATTGGCGTCTGTGTTGATTTTCATTGTCCTATCTTCCGCTTAGCCTCCTCAGTAACCACAACCTTACCCTCGATGCATTATATGAAACCTAGCATATAATCGCTAGTTTTTATTTATATTCCGTTTGGTTTAGTTCAGTTGAACAACTATGGTCCGGCAACCGAATAGTGTTGGGTCTAACTGCCAAGACTCACAGCAAAAATAACACAACAACGGTAAGAATATGGGTTGTTCGCAAATGTTATCATGAAAAAAGTGCACCCAACTAATCGAGATGGACTGAAAATTAACAATATGATACAAGAAAGCGAGCGCGGAAACGCCACTGACTGTAATATCTTGTACCCGCTATTTGTTCAGCTTGCACATTTGTATTGCGGTACAGTAGCTGAGGTATTTCTCATTCCAATCTAACGTGTAGCATGACGTTGTGGACAAGGTGGTATTGGTGAGACTTTCCTCGCGATTTTATTGCACCTCGTTATGAGACACTATGCCCAATAAACGATTTCATCTTGTAAACTACATAAAGATATTTCGGCCACAAAATGACAACAAACACATTTCCAACACAAGACGCAAATCATGTACAATAGTTCATCGAGTCAGCTACCAGTCGGGTCGCGCGAGCCCGTCTAGAGGACCTACGTCCCAGCAGTACACAAGCCAGTGATCATAAATTTAAGACTTGCTGTCAGTTCCATGACTGCTCACTCGGACCTTACGTCGTCTGGCAAATAGTAAACACCTCGTTCGCTACCTAAATGCAGCTAAGCAGTGGACAATTTTCCAACCTGTGTGCTTAGATCACCAGGAAGCATTACCGTGTCCATACTTATCTTTCGACAAAGAAGCTCGTTTAGTCGGTGCTAAAAGTCATCTTTCATCGAGTCGATGCTGCAGTGAGAGCAATGACGAAGTGGAATCTATCGGCTCCGTACGACATCGTATCTTTAGACTAGTTAACCAGTCAGACGGCGCACATCAAGCTACTGATTGGGATCCAGTCGACCACAGCAGCTTCAGCTCGGGGGCTCTAAGTAAAATCCACGATGGCTTGACAGTCGGCTGAAAATGTGCTATCTCAGGATTGATTCAATGAGGAAGTGTCACCAATGCCACATGAAGGGGATCATTGAGTAGGCAGAGAACCCGGGTATTGCAGGTAAGTACCCGATAAGCAGAAGATATCCATCAGTAGGATCTTTAAAGGAGGCATCAGAAGTACGCCGATACGCAGTACCGACGCTTCGCTGCCGTGCAACCACCAAGTGTCGCACGTTAGCTAAGGATAATACGAGGGTAGCCTGGTCCCTGCGCACGCTCGAACCCGTGCCTTGTGATCCTTAAGGCTACGGGCTGGCAAGTACACACTTTGGGACAAGCGAATTTAGCGAGGATCGGGAGTTGCAAATGGAGACGCATGAATTGACGTCCGTTTGGTTGAATATGGACTTCTCGACAGGACCGAATTGACGCTCCGCAATTGTGTGGTTAGAAACCAGAAGACGAATGCCTATTAAAGCAAAATGGAGGGCTGAGACTTGAGTGGTTGAAAACGGATGGTAACATTGAGGTTAAAACTGGGCGCAAATGATGAAAAAGTGCAAGGGGAGTACTAAGAAGACGGGAGCATCTAAGCAGTAGCATCCTCACTCCTTTCCACCGTACTCGATGCAGCAGATAGGGCGCAGCTTATCGTTCCATAAAACGACCAGAGCATCAAGAAGTTGTGTGAAGTGATTCATTTTATTGTGGTGGCATAAATTTGGCGTACCGCTTTGTTCTAGTCTAAAGGTATACCACGAAACCTTGTAGTCCCATCGTGCCTCGGAAATGGGACAGCTGCTGTTTATCGTAACTTTCGTAACTTATTCCGTCTGATACGTGGAGTAGGCAGCAGGGGACTTGATGTTAGCGACACTATGGGGCAAAAGTGAACGGCCGATCCACAGCTCTTCAAAATGCTTGGAGCCTTGGGCCGAACACTTCGAAAGACCGTTTAATCAACGAGGGCTGCCAGCTTCCTTATCGGCCAGTTGAAATGAGACAATCATAGGGGACTCGGTCTGATCTCAATTGTGCCTAAGCTACTTGCCTTTTTCATTCTTTATAGCTGGCTGACATCCGTAAAAGCCAGATTCGTGTGGAGCAAGCCCGGTTCCTTCCAGGTTGGAACTGTATTAACCACCTTTTCGCACTACCTCGGTTGTTGAAACCGCCAGATTTATTGGACACCCACTCTAGTCGCGTTCCTTGACATCAAAGGTTCCTTTGACTCTGTGGATCGATGTGCCCTTCTACTATCTACTCAGGAAACATGTGAATCGATTATTATGTAGATTCATTAAGCCGCTGTGTGCATGGGATGAGGTTTTACGGCAAACTGTCGGCGCCCTTTACTATCTCCAGCGGTGTGAGCATCGTCGCCTTTCTTGTTTAACTTCACCATCGACGAAGTCAGGGAGACTGCACTCACTGGGCACGATTTCGAAGGTGTGGAGCCGCTGCAGTTTGATGGACTTCTTCACCTATAGTACGCCGACAGTATTGCCATAAACTATGACAGCTCCCAAACGCGCTAACTTGGTCTGGACAATCTAGCACTGGCTGTCAATCCTTACTGTA